AAAAAAAAAAAACAGTTATATATATAGATATAGTCGTTTGACTCGATGTATTCCATACATTATACTTGTAAATGAGAAAACAAAAGAGAAATTCTACATGTACATAATAATGTACATAACACTCACATTAAGTGAGTCATACCAAAAGTAAAAAATATGTACTTGTAGCATTTTTTTTTTAAAAAATAAAATAGATAAAGATTGTTGTAACTTTTAAATATTAATATACGTGCAAAAAGGGAATTGAAAATGTAATGGTGGCTGTGGGGTTCGAACCCACGCGCACTTGAGTGCAGAAGATCTTAAGTCTTCCCCCTTAACCACTCGGGCAAACCACCAAATTTTGATAGCAAATGTGTTATGCGTAATAATAATTTTTTGTTCTGCTGGAACAATCCAGAAGAATAAGATTTTGATACCCGCTTAGCCGCATCTCGTATTTAGTGCATCTGTTCCCCCAATTAACGCTTTCATTTGCGAAACCCTAATCAGACAAATCTCAACTTTGGAAGGAATTGAGGAACAGAAGAAGCTTCGGGATCTTGTGCAATGGCGGAGCACCTTGCGTCCATATTCGGAACGGAGAAGGATCGGGTGAACTGCCCTTTCTACTTCAAGATCGGCGCGTGCAGACACGGGGACCGCTGCTCACGCCTCCACACGAAGCCCAGTATTAGCCCTACCCTCTTGCTCTCCAACATGTACCAGCGCCCGGACATGATTACACCCGGCGTCGACCCTCAGGGCCAACCCATCGATCCCAAAAAGATGCAGGAGCACTTCGAGGTTAGGGTCTCTCTGTTTCTCTTTATATCTTATTTGTTCTACTTCATAATCGCTAGCAATCGTTATATCTATCGTGCTTGATGCTTTGATTTCGGGAGTTTGGTTGTTCTTGAGCTTCCTCTGTAGGGATGATTTATTTTTATTGAATGTTGGTGTGCTCTAGATTCGTTTTGTTTTGATATCGATTTCGTGTTTCGGGGTTGAGTTGTAGCACATGAGATTGCGGGAGAGGACAATATTGAGGTTTTGTGCTCGAGTAACACTTATTAAACTCTGTTCGTTTGTTTAAATGTTATTCGGAAAAAAATCTAATGTAATTTCTGCTGTTTTTCCTTCACTTGATCTGTATGGTGTCACATTTCAATTCCAATAAATCAATCATGGGGTAACATGCACAGTTTTTTGTTCCCCACTGCGGGCCACTGGTATCTGTTCTTTTTTGATTTGATGCTTTGATAGTTGATGCAGTGCTGTTTAAACTTTTTGTTCCCCACTGGTATCTGTACTATCTAGATTTGAAGCTTTGATAGATGATGCAGTCCTATGTAAACAACTGCTTATTTTATATTAGTTGAATGTTGTTTCACTGTATTATTTTTTCTCACCTTTGGCTTGGTAAGGAAGCTTTATGATTTTCTGTTTGATTATATTGCAATCACTATTCAACTTGTTTCTCAATCTCTGTTTATCTGATGAATCGCTGTTTTTATGTGCCATTCTCAGTCTTATTTTCTTCCTGTCATTCTTCTTGGGTGCTGGCAGGATTTTTACGAAGATCTGTTTGAGGAACTGAGCAAGTATGGTGAGATTGAAAGCCTGAATATTTGCGACAATCTGGCAGATCATATGGTAACTTTCCTTCAGTTTTTATCATATCTAGGATATACTTAAGTTGATATGTATTAACTGTTTTCCACTTGTGCAGGTTGGCAATGTCTATGTGCAGTTCAGAGAGGAAGAGCATGCCGCAAATGCTCTGAAGAATCTGACTGGAAGATTTTACGCAGGTAAAAAACAATCAAGCACCTTTATGTTTTCTTTGTCAACTTTTTCTTTTCTGTATTTTCAATTTTGAGGACCACAGTTTAATGTTAATTTGACTTAACATGAACTTCTTTATTCAATAATTGTTCCTGCAGGACGACCAATCATCGTCGACTTCTCTCCGGTGACGGATTTCCGTGAGGCCACCTGTCGGCAATACGAGGAGGATGCCTGCAACCGTGGTGGGTACTGTAACTTCATGCATCTGAAAAGAATTAGCAGGTATATCATGAAGTTTTCCTCATCACTCGACCGAAAGTAATAAAAAAAGCTGTATTAATAACTCCAAAGATTTATAATTGACTATTTTTGTCTTCAATACAGAGAGTTGAGGCGCCAATTGTTCGGGAGGCACAGGAGAAGGCACAGCCGGAGCAGAAGCAGAAGTCCCTATAGGCACAAAAGCTATGAAGAGCGGTCACACAGCAGCCGGGGTCATGGCAGAAGGCACGATGATCGGGACTATCATGAGAGTCGGAGCAGGAGGCACAGGAGCACGAGCCCGAGCCGGAGAAGGGGAAGGAGTCGGAGCCCAGGAGGAAGAAGGAACCGTAGTCCGGTTAGGGAGGGAAGTGAAGAGAGACGAGCTAAAATTGAGCAGTGGAACAGGGAGAAGGAGGAAGCCGAACGTGCCAGCAAAGTGGAGGTTGGCGGTGGTCGTGATGATGAGCATGCTGAGCAGAATGGAAATGGGTATTAGTGATTTTCTATCAACGGTTTGTACTTTTTCTCCCACCTTTTTTTGGTTGTCTTTTAATTTTTTGGTTGTTAATGGAAAAGTCTTATGAAGACTTGAGATGTCCTAGAAATGTAGCTCACTGTGCATTTTCCACTGTGCAGGTGGTGTGCAGGTTTTCAGTTATATGTCGTATGGAACCTAATAATCTTTTGTCAATGTTTTATTTATTTATTTATTTTTATGTATGTCGGCTTGAAAGTGTCATGGATCCCTGATTCTTGCACTCGGCCCATTTTTTTCCTTTCTTTTTATCCTTTTCCATCCAAACACTCTTGCCTAGTCTTCCTTTTGAACAATTTGCGACTGGATTCAGGTCTATCAGTTTCAAATCAAGTACTGAAATCTATTTTTCACTTCTTACTTGGAGCATTGCTTCCATACGACAAAAAAACTATTCAACCACTCATATATTTCTAATAACCAATCATTATCATTACATTATAAGTTTTATATCATGTCAGCTCTAATTATTTCATGTATCTTACATCCTTCACAATTTCAAATCTCTTTGTTGTTCTGAAAGAATTTTCTGTGTTTTCATCTCTATTTTTTAAAAAGACAAAATTTTCCAAAAACGCACATTTAATTGTTCCCGACTGTTTTGCGACCTACGTATGGTTTCTTACCAACAGGCATTGGGTTGTGATTTTAAGTTCGGTTGTAACATAACTGAGAATCATTGTGTTACTTGTTTGAACTTTGAAGTTCTCCAACCAAATGTTATATTGGGTTATTGGTTGATGCTTACAATCTTAAAGTGTCTTAATATCTAAGTTAGTATTGCGGAACTTTTCATAGATACATCACTTTTTAGGTTGTCCTGTTCTCAGTTTGTCGTCGTCAGCTCTTCTGCCACATATTTGATTTGTAATTATTTTTAATTGTCTTATTTTATTTTTGTATGTGCATGTTCCTTTTTACCTGCTAGTGGTTCTGTGTTGGTTTGTGCAGTCAGGCACCATGTATCCACAACACATCCACTCTTGTGAGTTTCAATCGTTTGTTCACTTTTGTTTTTGCTGTAACATTTTTAAATTTGCGCGAACTCACCTTATTTACAAGTTTTGCAGGTCCAGGTTCTGCTTATAAGGACTTGAGAAACTGGTTTTAATGATGAATTACCGTGGACTTTTGTACAGGTATGTAGAGGTTCCAGCAGGAGAGGGTTTCGAACAGTTTGGTTCTGGCTGATGTTTGCTTGCAGGATGGTGAAGATGTGCGAATTCTGATATGTTAATTAGTTTTGCTTCTTATGCCTATTAGGAAATGCAGGTTTCTTGGGCTTTGTAATTTTCGTTGGGTCTTTCATCGAGGAACTGTTTTTAAGTTTTATGTGGGTACTCTGAGAAACTATGCATGCTGTCTTGTTAAAGAACTGGTGCAATCACTACTGTATCATCTAATTTGAGATATGTATTTCTGTCTTCCATGTTTGTATGTTCCCTGCCTTTTTTGGCTCGACATAGTCAATAATCATTTCAGAATCTCCATTGCATCATGATAGTAAAATTTCTGTAGGGGTGTTGTTTGAGCCGAGTCGTTTATGTATGGCCTTGTGCTCATTTGATAAACGAACAAAAGGCTTATGCTTGAGCTTGATTCTTTTTAAGTAATCAAAAAACTGAGCTTGATCTTTGAGAATATTACTTCCCGTAGGTCTTAGTACAGTTTCATATTCATCTATACAACTTATAGCCTTAATACACTTTCCAGTACAGTTTCATATTCATCTATACAACTTATAGCCTTAATACACTTTCATATTCATCTATACAACTTATGTTTTTTTATGTGAGGGCTTAGGACTTGAGCTATGAGAAAATTACTATTTCATATTCGTCTATACACCTTTTTTTTTCTATGTCAGTAGGACGAAATATGATCTAATACTTGTCTTTTTTTTTTTTTTGTAAATTCCAAGTTATTTCTTGTTTTAGTGTAGTTCATCTACCATTCATTATTTTTTTCTTATTTAATGATTCTCTAAAATTGTTACATATTTTCATTTCCTCTTTAATGATAGTAATTATAATTCATGATAGTAATTATAATTCATCCCCAATAATAATACTCGTTTATTAACGATTTATCTCTCATATTTCTTATTCCCTCCATAACTATAATAACAAAACTTTTTTGTGTAAAAAACTTTTAGGTGCGTTGACTCATCATATTTTATTATAAAAGTACATGTTTTATACTATCAAACATTATACTTCTCATATATGATATTATTTAATCTAAATAGAAATATTTGTAAAGTATATTGGTATACTTTGTCAATGTTTTGTCATGTATAATATCTTCTAATATATATATGTATATATATATATCTGTAAAGAAAAGGTCTATTGGTATTGTTATGCAACAAATTCTTCGGTTCGATCGTTCCTCTCGAACTGGGTTGTGTCTCTTTGATCGTCGGTACCTGCAAAACACGTCGGGGTGGTCCTGACATGGACAATCCGACGCTCAAGTCAGTGGTGGTATTTCGGAGAAAAAGGCAGAGTATCGAGATAATGCGTATGTGTGTTGTGTAAAAAAAAAATGAACTTGTGCCCTTTTTATAGGTGAGGTTGTGCCTAAGTTGAAGAATTTTTGCTAGACCATAAGTCTTCTGATGCCTACCTCTAAATTAGGTCAGATACCTCAGATCTTCAAAGTCCTTATTGCTACAAACTTTTTCATGAGACTTGGTCATAAAGCCAC